ATTTTTTTCTGTTTCTTCTTTTTCTTCTCTAAAGATGTTCATCTGGGCTATTCTATATATAAAAATACCCGGTTAAAGAAGAATGTTTGTTTAAATCGAGACTCGACATTGTCAGTTGACTGTGGCATTTACAAACAATAGGGACTTTATAGCAAATCGTTGTACTTCAAAATTCGAAAACGATGTATTCAGTATGGAATACAGAAAATACAAAGTGAATAAAACCAAAAATATTTATATAGTATTAATGTAAATCTTTTCCTGTAATGTCAACAAAAACTATTTGTTTCACGCAAACTTTTTCAATACAATATATAAACTACAGTATATAAGCTATATGTTTTTTTACATTCTTTACTTTTTTGTTTGAAAAACTAACTGAATACATATAAATTTCTGCACGTTTCTAGATTTACAGTATAAAAACTGATGTATAAACTATCCCAGGCTACGTGCATAAACGCTATTGACAATGGGCCTCATATTTATACTATAAACAAAATATATCTCATACTCAATAATTCAGTGAAGTTCAGGGTATGTCAACTTGTTTTTTTTACGTTTGTAAATAAAAATATCGACGTAAAGAATAAAAATATAGTGTATTATATAATCTTTTTATATAAATTATTCGAATTATTATTATCGATCAATTAAATATATCTATTTTCTTTTAAGTTCCAGATTGTTGCCAACAATCTATAAATCCTTCTGATAAACTGTAGCTGTGATCAAAATGAAAATAGTATTTTTATTTAATTTAATACTATATTGATTTCCACTTTAATTTATATGTGTATAATTTTATATTGATTGATCGGAGGAAGTCTCCATGAAAGTATAGATTACAGCCTTCAATCTAATTAATAATCTACTATATATAAAATTTCATAGTATATAACAGGAAGAGATGAATTTATAATATATTTATAACTTTGTAAATTGATAGTGCTTTAAAGATAATTATTTATGCAATAATCTATAAAAATATATAAACTAATAATGCAATGATATGTTTACAGCCTATTGTAGTTGTGGGTACATATTAAAATATATATTATTTATAAAAGTAAATATTTGATTTCATCTAAAAATAGTGATATCGATAAGAAGAAAGTAAAGCATGCTATATAAACGAATAAAATATTTTAAAATATCAATTTTTTAAAGCATTTTAGAAATTCAAAAGTAAAATAATACACTCTCTAATTTACTTATTTCTATCTGTTAGTAGTATTTGTTTACTGAAAGAAAACTTTTCTTTATCTTTAAGACTTAGAACATAAAAGGATCTTTGTGTCTATAAATACTATCTAAAAACCCTTTTACAAATTGCCATCATACTTATATTAAATGTCTTTTATAAATCACAATCATAAGTAACTTATAAAAATTTATGTATAGTATATAAAACAAAAATTTGATATATATAAAATTAGAAGAATGCAAATTGGATTCTTAGAAATGGATCCAAAGGTTAATCGACAATGCATTCAGTTGCCATTTGATTCCAATCAGAGTTAAACAATCCGAAAAATTTCATTTATTGTTGGGTTAAATTTTATTATTCCAATGTTTCAAGATTCCATTAAATGTCAACGAATAAGAAAAGCGTTTGTTAAAAATGAAAGCGAAAAAAATACATTAAAAAAAGTTGAAATAGAAGTGATTCTTTATTAAATTGTAAGATTTTGAAATAAAAATGCAGCAGAATTATTTTTATTATTCAGCCATTTCAATGTGATATGAATAAGTACTAAAAATATCCTAACAGGAAGAAGAAAAAAATAAAGAAAAAGAATTATTTTAACTTTAGATTGATTTAATTTTTCTAAATATGACTTTTTTTTATTAAATTTTTTACATTTTAATTTAATATATATATATATATATATACATGGCAATTTCTGTACAGACACTGTCTAGCACAGTGTTTTCTTTTTCTTCTTTTTTTGGCTGTTTCTTGAGAGATAACTTTGATCAAGTTAACATGCAACAAAACTCAAATGCTATTATATTCTCAAACTTTATGTAACAGTTAAATCAGTGCAATTATCTCCTACTTAGTTTTTNCCTCTATAATATTTTCCTGCGCGAGTTGCATATATAAAAAGTAAAAATTGCAAATTAGTTATCATACCGGTTATAAAAAGTTAGCACGGTTCCATAAATATCACCGATGTTTTAATAAAATATTTTATGACCTTGTAGGCCTAGATATATTACATAAAACAGGACTAATCCTACAGTATAATAATCGTTAAATTATACATAATTAAGCCCTACCTCATATTTTTATGCTATATTATTATAAATAATATAAAAAATGTTTTTCCTATAAAATTCTTTAAAAATTCGCCATTTTCTTATTCATATTGAATTTTATCCTCTATAGAGAAAAAAAAGGCGATCCTTTTTTAAGGTCATGATTTTCCTCGTCTTCCATTTTACCTTTATGCATTATCATAATTGTCTATTGTGAGTTCTGACCCGTCTAAACCAGTTTAACACATACAGGTGCCAATCTTAAATCACATACTGTTTAACATGGCACGTTTCAATATATCATCATTCCTTACATTCGCATCAATCAATCAATTCCCAGATAGCACATCTGTTCAAGAGTCATGCACGGTTCATCATATCCAAATCTCACTTCTATACATCAAAAATGTTGACAATCTCACCTCAGCGCTTTCAAAATAGGATATTGCATCATACATTTTTGAATTTATTTTTAATATTACATTAATCATTTTTATGTTGAAATATTCTAACTAATTCTTCTTTTGTATTATTTTGAAACCGTTTATTTAACGTCATTCTTAAGTATACAAGTAGAATTTAAAAAAATAAAAATAAAATATTTAAAAAGACAAGAATCTCTTTAAGCAATTATCATTCCGGTTTGTCCTTCACGTTTATTAAGATTCGAATAACAACGGATGCATTATCTGTCATTATCCTATACAATAGTAATACCAAATCGTACAAATGTTCTCACACAAGCCAATTGCTCATGTTCATCGTTTTCCTGCTCCAAATCTCATTTATAGCATTCTATCTCAGGATTATTACAAGACCTTTATCCATTATGTCTTTCACGAATCGTTGCAGGAATAACTTGATTCTCTTAGGCCTACATCTTTTATCTTCTTTTTTTCTTTTTCTTTCAATAAATTATACAGATTTACCCGAATGATCTTTTAAAATATTATATAAAACGATTATAGATTAAAAAGAAATTCTTAACGACTTATTTTTTTTTCTTTTTCATTTTTAGAAAGTTTCAATTTTCTCATTATCTTCATTTTTACGCCATTTATTTTTAGATTTTTATACTCTTTTTCCACAGAATTCTGTCACCTTATCCGCTAATTAACGGATAATAAGCAAATCCTATTCTGGCACTTTGCGCCTCTTTGAATTTTAAGGTATGCACAGTTTTCTTTAAAAATCTACTTTACTGTCTTTACTGCTTTAGTAGAAGTTATTTGATACTTTCAATGCGACGTGATGAAGTAAAAAAGAAAAGAAAAAGCAAATGTGTTGCACGCAATTTTATTTCTTTTTTATTTATTTATTTCATTAAGATGGAATTCGATATAACAAGAAACCTCACTGGTTTAGAGAAGATTATTTTCACTTCGAGACTATTATTATCCGGTCGAAAGCTTAATTTCTAGTTTGGAAATTCGTATATATAGGCCTATATATTTCTCTATACGTCTTGTTATTCGTCATTCTTTAGTTTTACTCTCTAGTTTGAATTCTTATTCAGTTCCAGATTTTCTGTTATGCAATTTACTAGCGTGGTTCCTCACGAAAAACTCGATTTCTGAAACATATTTGATATTCGATGAATGGCGAAAAATCTGAAAAGAACGGATTTTGTTCAGAATTATTGATGTCCAGAAATTGAACAATGGATATGAGCACAATACGCGTTACATCTACAAGAAAATATAGAATAGAATAAAATAAAAAATAGACCATTGCTAATGATGCCAAAATGTATTTCTCTGCCATACATTTTTAATATAGATCCTCTACGGTATATAAATATACCACTTTTATATTTTCTACTTTGACAAGTTCGGCGAAAGATTTTATAACTTTAACTTTAAAAAAAAAAAATCTATTTTCTAAATTGAAATTATGGTTTTATAACTAAAAATTTACTAAATATATCTATAAAGCTATATATTTATATATATAGAATAATAATAATATTTTTGTTTTTAAACATTTACCAGGAAATCGTACAGTACAGAGATTTATATATGCTTTAAATTTTTTTTTGTTTTAGAATAATACAAGTATAAAATTTTAAAACAGAAATTTATTGTTTTTTAAATATATTTTTAAATTTTTTAAAAATAAAATCATCGTTTGTCTTGACAATAAATTTTTGTATGCATGTATACTACAAATATGATGTTATAACAATATTTTAAAATTACATTTTGTCTAGTTGTAGGGAAAAAAAGAATTTATTTTACAAATTTTAAAATGTAAATCAAATAATTTTCTACTTTTAAACAAAATATATTCGTTCTTATAAACAACATTTTATAAAATTATATAATATTTTACCAATTTTGTATCCAAGTTAGAATATTTTTACGAGTTTCCTCTTAATTTTTCTTTTTTTTATTTACAAAAAATATTTTTATTATCTTTTTTTTTGTATTCTTGCCAACATCTCCATTTACAAATCATAACTTTGTCTTCCGAATATTTTAATTAGAAAAATAATAATAATTTATAAACATTTTTTATTTTTAAAAATGCAATTTACAGTATAGACTATATATAAATGTATTTTTTTTAATTTAAAAATATAAAATGTCCTTAATTAAAACGATTACAAATCAACTGAATGCACAAATTATCTGACAGAAATTGCTTATCGTTTAGAAGTTAAAAGTTATTACCATAAACTTGCATAGAGTGTAAAGATGAGTAAAGTAATCTCGAGAGAAATGAAATATTCATACTTTTCTTTGATTAGTTTCATGCTGAAGCAAATCCTTCAGAGAACAGCTATTTTAGTGTCGGGTGATATAAAGGATTGTCACATAAATTGTGTCTCGTTTGAGGATGGAATGCCTAATCACGGGTAATTTTCGAGCGAAATGCGAAAATATCTCTGAAAAGACAACAATTTTACATAATAAATAAGTCCTAACTAGTATCTGTCGGAAGCATTTTTTTATATATATAAATATAAGTTATATTTATACGAAATTAAAACTTAAGAAGGAGTCGTATTGCATATACTTGGAGTAAATTTTTAACAAGATTTTTCTCCTTCATTTAACAGCAATATAAATTGTCAGATTTGGAATTTGTTTATCGCTCAAAGCTGTCACTTTTGTTTTAAAATCATTATCAATCAGTTAGCTATATTAATTTATGCTGATACGTTAATTAGTAAAAGAAATAAATTATGTTAATTACTAGGAAAAATAATAATAAATCGTGTTAATTATAATGAAAGGAATAAATTGTTTGGCTTGAAATTCGGATACACACTTAACAAAACTGATAAATTATTTAAATAACGATCGCTTAAGCTTTTATTAATCCGTGGCTCATTTTATTAGTTTTAATATTATTTATTATTATTTTTATGACTTTTAAAACCAGTAGAGATTTATCTTTCTACAACTTAGAATGTTAGAAATTTAAACAGGAAGAAAAAAGATGAAAGAATGATCGTATTATCTAGACTTAAAATAATTTTCCGGTGGTGAAGATGAAATGTAAACTTTAGCGTGATTATTTTTCATATTCGAATACAAAAATCCAATGAAAATAGAAAAGAGGATTAGGAATACTTTAGAGAAAAGTAAAAAACTTTCCCTAACTCGACAAATTAATATGAACTACAGATTGGTGAAGATATGTCAACGCTGCAGAATCCTTGGTAAAAGATTGAGACGTAATGAAGTTGGCATAAACGGTAAAGAAGGAAAATTAATAAATCTCTACCTTATATTTATAGAATCTTAAGATATTTTTCAAGTAGCTGTGACATTTTTTTCCACTTACTTATTGCTTCAATGTAATTTCGAACATTTAGTTCCGGTTTAGATCATTTTTTAGTTACTTTATTAAGGTTTGTTGATTCTCTAGCAGAGCAGAAAATATTACATTTTATAACTTAAATAATTTTCTAGCTTATAAAAATAAAAAAAAAATTTTAATCGCTCCAAAACTTTTAATGAGTTAGATAAAATGAAAGAGGTAAGGGGAGGAAGGACGAAAGAAAATAATAATATATTTTTAAAAACAACAATTTTAGTATAGCTAAAATTTGCATGAATATATCTTCTTTTTATTTTCGATACAGACGAAAATTATAGTTAATTTTAAAAAATGATAATAATCTGTTAAAGATCCATTATGGTTCGATTTAGGTCGAATGTAGTCGGTAAAAAAGCATGGATGGTGCCATTAGATATCCATATTTTTATCTGAGGGATTAATAGAGCTCCACCAAATGACATTTTTGGAAAGTTTTTCGTCCAAGGGATCATCAAAAACATCTGCGCTTGAATATTCAACAAAACTTTAACAATGTGATCGACTTCTGATAAATAAATAGACAATTTTTTTTTATAAAAAATTCTATATAAACTGCATATATAAAGTTAAGAAAAATAAAATTTTTCAGTAAGTGCAAAATCTTGAATTAAATACTCCGAAAAAAGATCAAGATATTGTAATTTTTTGATCGTAAAGTAAAAAGTTTAAAATTCGATTTAGAAACTTCTAGTAGGACCAAAGTACAAGAAAATGAGCCAAGACTTTAAGAAAACGTTAAAAATTCATTATATTAGCTTTATATATTATTTTTTCAAACATTAAATTCCATTAAACTAGTTAAACTGGAAAAAAAATCCAAAAAGATCATTCGACTAAGTGAATAAACAGATGAAACTTTACAAACGGAAAAAATTGAAATAAGAGAGATTAGTTTTGGCGAAATTTTTACCGATGAGTAAACTAATTGAATAATTTCCAGTTTATAAATTAAAATTAATAACAAAATTATTTCTTGGAGAACAAGTATCTTAAAAGAGAACTAGTTCCTAACAATCTGTCGGAAATTCGATTTGCGAGACATCTGGAGAATTTTCATGACTTTAGAGCTCCGAGCAATATTCTCCTGATGAGAGATCATCAGAGAACAAAACAACCAAATGATACTATATATGCTTAAATTTTGTTTATAATGTAGCAAAATTCCTTTGAATTAATGTTTTCTCCTATTACTCCGCATCACAAATGAAAATAGATTTGCAACTTTATCATCCAAATAAAACCTGCAAACCGTTACGAATATTTTACTATGTTAACAGACGTTTATATAATTGAATTATAACAGTTAACAAAGTAGAATTCGAGTAATGTCATTAAAGGTAGAAATATTTAAATTTTACGCTCTCTACTTTATTAAATTATTATATTATTTATTTTCAAACTTGTTGTACAAATAGAAAAATTGTATTGACAGAATGTTCTTTTTGTAACGTACAGTACAGCTTATTTTTTTTATTATTTCTCTCTCATTCGTAAACTAAATCGACGTTCGTGCTATGAAACATTAATATAAACAGGTAGGGCCAATAAAAAGTAAAACAGTTCAGTCGTATTTTATGTCATACTTCACGAAAAGTGTATTTTGAATTCAGATCAGTCGTGACGTTCGAAGTTTGATCAGAATGTTCATTTCGCACGCTTCATGCCGATTTCTAATTTTAGAACCAGAATTAATTACTCAAAAGTTAAATTCCGTAATGCCAACTAATCAATTCTTGTTTATTTTAAATAGCTAAAAATATTTCTCATAATAGTTATAAACCATTTTAATTAAAAGCTTAAATTATTATAAACCGAAAGACGTTCTTCTAACATAGGAAAAAAAAATTTATGGAGATTGATGAGGATTTTTTCCCCCTCTGTTTAAAGAGGAGGATTTTCGGTTAACAGTAAGCCCTCGTATAAAAATTGCGGAAATTAACGTGTAAGTAGCGTGTTGGAAATGATGTTGTTTAGGAAGATTTGCGAGAAAGTCATACAGCGATGGCCTCGTATATGGCCTATGTGATAGTTCTGTCATTAATGTATGGAACTATAATCTCTAGACTTATATGCGGTAGACAAAAACATAAAACTTGTATGATGGTGATGGAGATGCGTTATCTGGCTGCTGACTATGTTATAAATTCATGTTAGGAATGATATGACGGTAATATGTGGCGTGAAATAGTAGCTATGCGATTGATAGGAACTGCACAGATGTGTTGAATGATTTCGTTCTGGAATGTTACGTAGTAAAGTGAAAGAATAAGTAAGGACATTTTCCACATTTTAAATCCTTCCATACTTATAAAAGTTGTATCTAAGTTTCAGTCTAAGATCTCAAGAAAATAATGATAATAATAATTTCGGAATTGAAGTCAATTTTCTCCGTTATTTTATAACACTCCAAATAAGTTAAGATATTTTTTTTCGTGTTTATATTATAACAATAATAAAAATATATCTAATCTAGAGAGAGTAGAAGATAGATAAAAGGCGAATATTTCGAAAGAGCAATTTCTTGTTACAATAGAGGATAAATGAAGTTCAAATATTAGATAAAGAATAGAAATGAAGTACGGTATTTTTGAAGTAGGCTTCAGAACAATGATGTAACAGTTGTTTGCACGGTACTTTCTATACTCTTGTTATTGTTATAAATTATTATTTACCCAGCATTTTTTGTATTTATTCTGCATTTCTAAACTGGTTTTATATAATTTAATATATAAATACTCTATTATGTACTTAGACTTTAGTATTGAAAATGTATTATGTTGTTTTCATTCTTATTCTGTATTATTTAAGTACTGCGTATGGTTAGTTATTCAGATAAATTAATGTAGTAGATAATAAATAAATTATAACGGACAAAAGATTAATATATTATAACTTTAATTAACGATTTTTTGTCACATCTACCAGACAGATTACTATAGATGCTGTAAATTAATTACTAGGGAAAAAATATAGCAAGTTTACGGCTTAAAAACTAACGAAAAAAGGGTGAAAATACTTTTTTTCTTACAAAAGCTTATCTTCTAAATTAAGCTATGTAACCTATTTGCAGAATTTCCAACGTGGGTAAGATTAAGTTAAACGATAGATATTATCTAAAAATCGAAGAGATAAGTGGAAAACACTTCAATTTATATCTACTTTTAACAGTTCAGTAAATTTCAAATACAAATAAACACTTTTACAGTTTCAGTGAACATAATAGAAATACAAATCTGATCCACAATAGTTTGCTCATTCGTTCCAGATGAGAAATGTTACTTTCTGGATGGATGAAGAAACAAGTGATGATGTCGTCAATGCTTGATATATAAACAGTACGTGATCAAACAACAGTATTACAGATTTAGATCCGGGATTCTACTTTATCTCTTCGACGTTCGAAGGCTTCACCTTTAAACAGAAGGATAATGTCCATGTTATCACATAACGATACTATTAATGAAACAAAATCCTTTAAATTGTTGTAAAGAACATTTGCATAATTTATTTGAAGTAAAAGCGAATCAAACTTTCTTAAAACTACATTTGTAACTTCATAATCCCATTTTACTTTCTGAATCCTTAAATTCTTAAAAGGATTCAGAATAGAAAATTTTAACAGAAAGAAAAAAAAAGATTTTTTTAAATTCAATTTTAAAATAATCTAGCAGTAATAATAATAACATTATTAGTTGTACAGTTTTTACTGGATTATATTTTAATTAAATAATATTTAAAATTGTTAAAAGTCGTTTACTTCTTTAAAAAAATGGCAAGTAAACTGCTTAAACATTTGCAAAAGCTCTTTATAAAAATACAGCATTGATTAAAAACCTTAAATTAAGTTGTTCTCACTAGGGTATAACATACAAGATTGATTAAGTGTCAAATACAATAACGTTTCTAATTATTATTGACTTAATTTGACATTTTTTGTGAATTAATTGAAAAGAAGTGTACACGTAGCACTTTCTTAAAAAATACTAAGGGGTTATTTACACGTGTTTATTAACATATATCCGTATATAAGTCATGAAAGATGCAGGTGCAACCAAGATATAGGATTGATGCCGTGACTGTTTCGATAGAGTCATGCACGTCATACAGCGCACGATCTCGAAATTTTCTTGGAAGTTGAATTTTATTCTTTACAGAAACACGATTATAATTAGAAATCAGAAAAGCGTGACCTCCTGGAAGGCGATACAATCTATTTATTTTCATATATAAAAATCCGCATCCGAACCACACAATTCTATTCAAGGATTACAAGATATACTCCCGAATTGTATATCTGCATAAATATTTATTTATAAATTACTCAAACCGCATATATGGATTTATATGTACATAAAAAAAATGCGAAGAAACGAATTACAAAGTCAAATTCTCGTTATATTGTTAATACGAAATTTAATTCGACTTTTAAATCTGTATTATAATAAGCCTGAACGTTTTATGTGTGGGTGTGCTGTTTAGTAATTGTTGTGATTATATGCTTATTTTTAGAGATTCTATCTACGCTTCGTTATTATCTAGAAAAGAATTGTGATAAGAAGATCAAAAATGTATGATTGATCGCAGCAATCGACTTATAAAGAAGGGTGACTCCATTATGGAACCAAAAATGAGTTTCATAAACGTAAAATTGTTTGCTTTTTTCAAAAAAAAAGTACAGTATATATGTAATACTGGTCACTGTTTGCATACTGATATAAAATTGAATCAATGAAATGACTTGCACGACTTCTGAGGCGAGATAATCAGAGTAATCAAATTTTTAATTTCTCAAGATGTCATGTTAATTAATTTCGCAATTAACAAGGAAAGAGAATTATGTTTACATTCAGTTAAAGAATTAATTGAACAAACAGTTTCTATAATAACCAAATGCCGAACGATTATTTAGTTGCGAGACATTTTGCTTTTAAATGAAAAATCAATCGATAATTGAAATATGAAAGTGTAAAATTTTATCTGTTTTACTTTTTTTTTTTTATAACATTTCTTACATATTTTTTTTAATAAAAATTTCTGGTGTTAATATATTAAACCCGAACAAGTTTCTATAAAGACGAAATAAATTATTAAATTTTTTTTTCTCGTATATTTTTCTTTTTACTTGGAATTTTTGGCAAAAATTTTGAACGAGACTATAATTTATTAATTATCTTAAGAATTTATTACTGTACTTTATAAGAAAAAATGAAAATAAAAAATAATAAATAAATAAATAACTATATATATATAGCTTTATTTGGCAATGTTTCAAATCCAAATAAACGTAAGTAGGTTAACAAAAATTCTTTTTCTTAAAAAAATTAATTTAATAACAGTTATTTTCAACATTTTAATCAAAAAATAACTAAGCTGATTGAATTATTAAAATTAAATTTTTAAACTTTTTAAAAAGCAAAAAGATTTTTTTTTTAAAGAAAGAATATATAATAATATAAACCAAGTTATCTTAAGATTTAAAATGCAGATTTTTGAAGAGAAACGGTTAGAACATAGTTAAAATAAATGATTTGCACAGACCGAAAAATCAGAAATTAATGTAATGCAAAGTAAATTGGATGACTTCTAGAAATTATGCAAATTAAAATCAAAAAATATCGATGGGAAGAGGTAAATGTAGAAAATTAGGAAATTTTTAAATACTTTCCATAATTTTATCCTTCTCTCTCTCTTTTTTTTTCTCCTTCTTCTTCTAAAGAACGAACAAAAGTTTATTAAAAAGGTAAAGATTTAATTGAAAGGCGAGTTGTTAAAGTGTCAGATACACTTGGTTGACTTAACAATGCCGAAAGAGGTTAGGAATGCGTATGTATCTTCCTAGCATTAAATGCAGTTTGTTAGATATGACTTTTCCCCATTGGAACACATTGCTTGTCAATCCGTACCAACTGAAACGAAACGTCATTTCCTTTTGCATAGTTCAGTAAACTTTTTTGAATGGGACATGAAAGCCATGCAAAAGTATTCTATAGGCAATCACGCAATCAAGAAACACAGTTATAATGCCAACCGTACACATACTATACATCTGGTAGGTAGTTTAAACATCATTATATACAACTTTAACAGTACCTTTGACATATATATATGTATGATATATTTTATTCGGGTTGTTTGATTTAAAAAAATATATATATATAGTTATTTTCATAAGAGAATATCGATAAGAATTATATATATATTTAAAAAAAATACATCTCTTAATAAGATCTTCTATAGAGAAGGCTACGAAATTACTTATAAATTTTGTTTGAATTATCATTTTAAAAAGGTTCCGTAACAGTAACCGCCGATTCGTGTCTTCCAACAGAATATATTAACAAATGTCTTAATAAACTGATTTAAATATGAAAAAAACTTCTCTAAAGCAATCTAAAACATACCTTTCTTTAACGGTAATGCATTATGCATGGTTTATATAAATTTTTATTAATCAAGTCATTAATATTTAAATATTAAAAAAAATTTTTCTTTAGTCAGAGAAGTTAACTTTTTATTAACTTTGATCTCTCTCTCTCTCTCTCTCTTCCTGGTGTTATTATTATTATATTTTCTTTTTAATTTGTAAATTTTAAAAACTAGCGAGCGGTTTTTATGAATTCGTTTCTAAATTATTCAAACAATTACGTTTAATTTTAATTAAGTAATAAATATATAAAAATTCTATGTTAATATTTAATTTTTTTAAGAATGTAATTTTGTTTATATATATGAGGAAACGAATACGTATATATAGGTTAGTGGATTCTTAATTATAAAAGAGACGAAGGGAGAAAAAAAACAAAACAAATTTAGCCAGTTTGAAGGAGGATTTAGTTTAAAGGTTATGCATATTTAAAGTTTTATAGCTATGATTCAACTTGCTTGCTTAAGATTACAGGTTTTTTTTTCCTATATTAGGCCTTTCTGTTTTAGTCAGATTATAGGGTTTATAGGCCTTTCTATTTTACTCAGATTATAGGTCTTTCTTACTAAGGTTAATAGGCCTTTATGCGTTTTAGAATTTCTTTTTCCTAACTATAATTATAGTTCTTTTCTACTATACTTATATACCATTTTTTCCTTACTGTTGTTTTCTTATATTCTTATACATTACAGATCCTTCTAATAAACTTTATATATTTAGATCCTCATCCTTTATTTATACAAAATCTTTTCATTGTATAAAGTGAACAACCACAACCAGGAAAAAACTTTAAAGGAAAGTTTAAACTTACCTGAATTTCGATAAATTAAAATAAATAAAACAGACGAAACGAGGAAGATATAATAAATTTATTTGAAAAAAAATAGACGTAAAAAAATGAGAAGGAAAATTATTTAATAAGCAACATATGTCTTAAATATAGTTAAATTTATATGAAAACTCACCTCTTACGTATGGAATGGAAGCAGAAGGGTCCGAGTCGATATCCAAGACTTTACACGAGGGTTAGAAAAGGCGAAAAAAGAAAATAAAGGTAAAAAAAAAAAGCAAATAATGCCTGTCTGGTCTCTTCATCTTTTAATCAGCGACAGCACATCCATCAAAATGTTTCTCTTTTTTTTCCACTAGATAAAAAGACCTGACCTATCGGCAGACGTTCAAATTGACGTCTGCTGCTCTCGACTGACTGTCTCGCAAACGCTAACGTTCTCTGTTAGCAACTTAACTGTCGTCTGTTGTGACGTCACGCGCGCATCGACCAATAACGTACCGTATGGGTTGTGACGTAACGGCGATGATGGGGACACTCACCCAAATCTCGATTTTTTTTATTTTTATTTTTAATATATATATATATATATAAGCTCGATAAGGATGGTTTAAAACGATAAAAATAATTTCTATTGTCTTGTCAGTAAGAAAAGGAAGCGTTGAGAATAATCATAACTAGAAATAAAAAATAGAAAAAAATGTGTATGTGTGTGTGTGTATGTAGCCTATATATATATATATCGGAACGTCAGTTTGAATTGTGAATATTTGGAGAAAAATTATGGAGAAATTTCCGCCCATTTTTCGAATTTTATGTTTCGTATATTTTATGGTAGATTAATTCTCGTTTAATATATAATTTAATGCTGTATTGTTATCCTTAGTTAATAATGGAATGAGTAGTTCGCTATAGAATTTATATTATATAGCCTTCGGAGATTGTTGTGGAATGTTGTCTCTGCACTATTGAGGTAACAAAAGTGATTGTTTAGTAACGCAGAGCAGAAATGTAATTTTCCGAATATTTTCTTACCCTTTTCTTCTTTTAATTTTTCCTCGGTTTCCGAAGAAAAATTGCTTTTTAAAGAAAAGGAAAACGTAATGTATTTTGTAAAGAAGGATATACATAATTTCCATTTTTAATGATGATTTCTTTTTAAAAATATGTTCAGATTTATAATCTCCCAACAAAAAGTAATAATATTAAAACTGAATTATGAGGTAATAGTTATAAACGAGATAAACTAATTATAAAAAATTATGTCGTTTTCTAAAATTCTTCCCACTTTTTCTCTAGAGAGGAAAAAGAAGAGTGCATAAAATATTGATCAATTTTAACATCATTAAAGAATATTTTTCAAAATACGATGAAAGACTTTATACCATTTTCTAAACAAAAATAATCCAATATAGTCTTATATATATGTGTGTGTCTGTGTGTCTGTGTGTGTATGTTTACAAAGTTATCCAATTAAAAATATTTCTTTGTGTATCTGAACTAAAGAGGAACACAAATGATTTTCGTGTTTCTTTCCTTTATTTTATTTAGTTTATTTTTCTATTCTTGTTATTATCCTTTTGAAATCTTTAAATCATTGTAGATGCTTGACATAAAGATAAATAACTCTTGAAAATTTTCGTTTTTGTTTTGATCACAAAAGACTTATTGAAATTATTCTTTAAACCGACTCTAAACAAGTCCTATTGGAATTTTTTTTTTTTTTTTTTTCTCTTTCTCTATTTTCTAAATACTAGGAAATTAAATGGCGTATTATTTTTTTTCTTACTTTCTATCTACCTGAATGAGTTCTTTTATTCTTCTATAATATCCGAGACTAAATTTCGTATCGGAAAAGATAGTTTATATAATTAATCTAATTATATAAATTATTTTTAAAATCTCGGCTATAATAAATTTAAGATATAATAGTTTAGAAAAGTTTAATTTCTCTATTTCAAAATAAAGCTTCGAAGCATTAAGGAAGCTCTAAATCCTATCAAGAAGGGATTTTATATAATTAATATAATTATATAAATTATTTTAAGAGTTTGGAAGACGTCAAATTGGTGTTGCTTTACTTTAGTTTTAATGCTCCATAACGTAGCTCTAACATTATCACGACGCTGTATCGAACAGGTAAGTTTGTGTAGATTATTTATTAATATTTTATTATAAAACCTGAAATTACAGAAAAATTTTATAGCCTTATTAAATTAATTTTAAGACATTATATAAGGATTCAACATCATCATAGTTTAATCTCATCTATCTTGAAAGTTCTTAACCTATTAAACAATTGAATTTATTTAAAAAATTTATAACTTTATATGCAAATTTAAGACATTATAACTTTATTAAATCGATAAAAATGTCTAAATCAGTTCTGTATAGAATTTATTTTAAGAAATTCTGAACAAGCAGAAGAAATTCTATAATAAGATGGGAGAGTTAATATAATTAATTTATGCCCGCCTACGCGTTATGATATTTAGATCGCTTTCAAAGTTAGAAAATGATAATATGAGATTTTAAAATAATTACATAAATTATTTTGGGATCTTAAATTATAGATGATCAATTTCGCGTAATTATTTAATGTCGCGTAAGTTAATTCTAACTATTCTAAACTTATTAGCGATAATGTTCTAAACTATATAGAGAGCTTATATAATTAATATAATTATATAAATTATTTTAAGATCTCAAATTGCATCATTTTCATTATATAAACATTTGGCATGGCGTTAGTAACGGCTTGAAATTTATACGTGAGTAACAATAATTCATTTTTAAACAAGTCATTACCATCGCTACAAGTCGAACTTTTATTATACATCTTATAAAAAGCGAGTTAAACCGATTTAGATGAATTACATCCATAAAATATGATTGAAGATCCATTTTTCCCTCATTGGACTTTCAGATCAGGATCTTGTCATTGTTTCATTCTAAAAAGAGGAGTTGTGCGGGGTTTAATTCTGTATTAATTTAACATCATAAATTTAAAAATATATATTTCGAAGGTCTCGAGTTAAATTATTATAAAATAGAAAGTCATAAATTTATATATATTTTATGTTATTGTTTATATACGTTAGAATTGTTTCTTCTATAAAAATATTTTTCTTGCGATTGGTACCAAAGGCAGATCATAAAACACACCAGCAAGCTGTACTGACTGTTACAGTGGAAAGTTCAGAAGAAAATATTCTACAGATTGTGTGAGTCTAACCTTCAAGCGCGGGATTTTCCACTATTGTCTAAATTTAGTACTGTTGGACGAGAATACGTCTTGATTCAAGGTCTGAACACCATTTATTTCTCCGCCCTTAGTCAAACTGGTGCCTCTAACCACAACAATAATTATCAAGGACTAGTTTAATTAAATAAGTTAAGCACGTGGGTCGACCTTATAATATTCTATTTTCGAACATTTTTATAAAAATGTAACTTTTCAATTTTCTACATTATTATACTATTTTAATACTTAATTATACTTTCGAGTATTGAAAAAATAGACACACCCGAATTGGATGAGGCTTTTTTCTCAGTATTTCGACTTATTAAGAGGTCGATTTTATTCATCTAAAGAGAGTTATGAGAAAAGGTGAACTGATGATCTTAATTACTTCAGTGGTTCTAATTGGTTTCTCAATCATTTGAATGATATAATTAATACGTAATTGTAAGTCTTTAGTTATTCTTTTATATTAAAAAAAATAATATTTTACAGTAAAAATTATTATTATTCGGTTATTTAATTTTAAAGATTATATTATTTATCAAAAAATGAAGAGCAATGAGCTTTATTGCTTTGCGCTGTTATCAATTTGAGATTAATTTAATTACAATAAATATTTAATTAATTACCAAATTTATTAGTACTATATTAAAAGAACATCGTTAAAGATATTGTTTTAAGGTTAATTTATTCATTAAAACATTATTCATTAAAGATTTTCAGGATAAATCTATTGAATAGTTCAATGATATTAATTAACTTCGTAAAAATAAAATTCATTTTTAATTAGAAATTTATTGACTATATCGAAATAGCCAATTTGTAATTTAAAATATAATTTTTCAGCTTTTTATTTTAATAAAAAAATCGATTTATTCGCAGGAAAAACACGAGTCATAAAGTATGAATAGGCCTACTTTAATTAGTTTACTAAGACTTTAACAATGAATTTATGAATATAATTAACTAAATTTCTAACATTTATGTTAAATATTTAAAAAATACACATTTGAAATATGAATTTTAAAATATTTATCCTCTTATTAAGATATTTTATTCATCAAAATCGAGTTTTCGTGACGAGTATCCGATGTTCGGTGGTTCAAGATACTTTCTTAGTAAATTGAGTAGTATAATTAATAGACCAACTTAATTATAGTTGTTATACTGAATATTTAAAAAGCAGACAAACCCGCCTTAAAAATGATTTTTTGTAGATGTTTATCTAGTTTTAAAAAATCTAAAAACATTGCTTTATTCAACAGAATTTTTGAGAACTGGTTCAATGGTATAGACTAATTTCGCTACAGGTTCTAAATAACTTAATTATATTGTTTAATAACAAAGTATAAACACGTTCAGTTTTAAAATGTGATTTTTAAGTATTTTATGTTATTAAAAATGAAATCGCTTTATTCATTAGAACCAAATTTACAGGGCGAGTAAGCAGAAATGCATTATCAGCAGCAATGGTATTGACTAGTTTCGTTTATTAAATGGCACATTCAATGGTTTTATTGTTACGAATACAACAGGTATTCCTAGTAAAACAATAAGAGAGGATTAATTAAATTCCTCTTATTAAATGTTCCATCATTAAGCAAATTTCAGTAAAATTATTAACAGAATCAAAAATTACTTTTAAGACTTAAATAGATTTCTATCGTAAATTCAATTAAGTGTTGATGAGATTATAAATGAGAATGTTGACGAAAAATAAGGTTTAAGAGATAATAATAGAATTTTCATTGAAATAATTTGGATAATGCCAATATGATTTCACGCGATTATCTTTAGCGATAACCGAAAATAAGCTTTATAACCTTTTAAATAAATATTCTGTCATTATCTCGCTGCTTAAAAGGAAAATATTTTATTATTTTTTATCAGTTGTTTATCTAACAAAAATAAATAATTTTGGCATTAGATCCAGAGACTAAAAAAAAAATATTTCCACTCATCACAAGTGCAGACAGCCAGACGTGCATCCTTCTCATACATTTTTTTTATTATAAAAATAGAGAAAAACGTTAAGTTTTCGTATAGAACAAACATAATTATTCATAAAGCTATATTAGTCTATATAAAAATGTATATACCCTACTAAATATTTAATTTTTTAAAGGACAACATATATATTTATATATATATAGGCCTATATATATATATAAAACAAACAATTAAAAAAAATATTA